GGGGGGGGGGGGGAAGGGGAGGGCGTCACCCGCTTGCCCCCGGCAGCTGAGCAGTTCTGGGGTCCTGCTGCCACTGCCAGCGGCTGGGAGCTGTGAGGGCCCCCCACCCGTGGCCGCTGAGCAGCTCTGGGGTCCCTCTGCCGTCGCCGCCACTGGCAACTTGCGGCAGCTGAGCCGCTGAAGGGGGGGACCCCTGCCAGCAGCAGCGGTTGGGCAGCTCAGGGGTTGCTGGTGGTGCTGGCAGCCAGTCAGTTGCAGGGGTCCCGCCGTCAGCAGCTACCCCCTGCTGCCCCTGGAGCCTGGGCTGCTGCGGGGTCCCCAATGTCATAGAGATAGCTGGAAGTCATAATCTTAGCCTTACTAATAGCTATTGATGGAGCTACCGTCCAGGAACTTATCTAATTCTTTTTGGAACTCAGTTATACTTTGGGCCTTCACAGCATCCCCTGGCAATGAGTTCCACAGATTGACAGTACTTCCTTTTATTTGTTTGAAATCTGCTGCCTATTCATTTAATCGGGTGACCCCTGGTTCTTGCGTAAGGCTGCTTTTGTTTGTAAGTGGCCACCCACCATTCCATTGGCGGGATTTTCCTCTTTATGGGAGCATTTAGTATTAAGTACAAATGGGGAAAACACCTATTTTCTGCTTCATCGGGCAAAGGTAAATTCCCAGAAGCAAAAATGTTCATGGCTCCTTTTCGTGAGCACAGCCAGCAAGCTGGAACCAGAGTTCTCTTTGGAGATTGACCCTAAAGATTCTGAGTTCTCAAGCAGCTGCAGCTGCTGAAAATCCAGCGTCTGCTTTTTCTGGCTCAGCTATTTCTGCTGGACATGCTGTTGCTTCCATATCCTCCATGGCTGGTCCATCTGTACAGTCTGGTGAGGATCCAGGGACGCGCACACATGCTTCTAAAGCCAAGAGAAGAAAACCTAATTTCCTTGCTACACAAATAAGAACTGCTGGACCAGAGGCCTTCCAAGCAACACAGCATCCTTTATGTTGCAGGAACAGGAATGGGTTAGAACTGCGGGAATGGGAAAACACTGCAATTACACGCTGCTGGCCTATTGTGCTGGATAGATGTGGTTCTTCTGAAGAAAACCAGCGGTCCTGGGCCCACTTTTCCCCCCTCACAAAATCAGCTGCTCTTCAAGTCTATTAGCCAAACTAGCGGCAGCTGTAGCTTTCCGGCTATTATTACTACAAAACCTTCCAAATCCAGTTAGCCCAGAGAGCATCCCTACAGTTTTCTTCAAGTGACTGACTCCAACTCGTTTAGCATGACACCAAGCATTTAATTTCATAAGCTGCAGAGGGCATAGATGAAATGCTCCACTTCTCCCTGCCAATGCCTAAAACCCCATCAGAGTGATTTGCATGCCTCACCGTGTCACACGGGATCAAAAGATTCATGCTGGATGCACAGATGAGAGTTAAAAAAAAAATCTTATGTATTTATTTAGGTCCTGATCCAGTCAAGCACATGTTTAACTACAAGCAGGATGTGTATTACTCCCACTGACTTCAAAGAGACTACGCACCCTGCTTAAAAAGTTAAGCATATACTTAGGTGCTTTTCTGGATCAAGGCCTTAGTAACGGCACTGAATACAGAGCAGATGGGGGATCCTGCACCAACGCCAGAGGAAACTGCACAATCATACACCTTTGTGTATTTTGAGGAACTCTACTAGCCCGTTGCACTGGCACCGCAATCACTGACTGGATATTCTACAGCCCACTTTTATTTAACAATCATTAGCACCCCACCATAATCAACATGCCTATAGAAACAGGAGAAAATGCTTTAGGGAGGGACTTTAAAAATGCTAATTGCTGACAGGGTGAAAACTTATACTACAGAATCCTGTTCATTTGGCTAGTCTCTCACACGGACAGCAGCCCTGCGCAGCGAATGCAGTGTAGCTAGTTCAAAACACTCGTTCTCAACTGTGTCAGCAACTTAAAGGGGGAGGAAAATGGTTTTTTAAATGGCCCCTGTTAATAAATTACCCGAAGTGCAGACAGAGAATAAGAAGAGAAACCATTTATATAAATGTCTGGGAAATACGTGAAATAAAATTCTGTGCCGAATAAGACTCTACAACAACGATGCTCCTCGAGTTTAATCTTGTGCAGTTCTGCTTTTAACCCTTACTTCGCTACTCTGCATCAAGCACCTAGAACTTAGAACTACAGACCATTTAATCTCTTGGCACTCACCAAATGCATCCCTTATATGAGACATTACTACCTGATTAGCTGTCACTGCCTTTCACCGTCATTGGGCTAAATCAGTTCCATGAGAGCTATTGCTATAAAGTGGCCAGCCTTATATATGAAACCTTGGTAAAGTATCTCTGCATATATCTGGATCCATGATGTACAAAGATACAGGAAGACTTTCTCCAGGCAAATGCATTATGGGGCATTCAAGTAAGGTGTTGGGAAATCATTTTCCAAAGAGTATCAATACTATTGTACCTATACAGAACAGGAAGAGCCTCCATTTTTTTGTTGTGAATCTTTGCTTTCTATTGACATTCAAAATCCTTCTTCCCTACAGATACTTTAATTTAAAAATCACAACTGCAGTCTTCTTACAAAATAGAAGAAGACGTGGAAACATTTTTTTCTATTCACATTATAGACAGAAAAAAAGTACAAGGATGGATAATAATGCTGGGTATAGCAGTATTCTGTCCTATAGGTCAATATGGGTAACATCCCTTGGATTTGAACCTTACGCTAGCATGGTGTATTTGATCACTATATAGAGCCACAAAAGGGTGACCCTGGACAATCTGTGCTATGCGCCAATGGAGAGAGCAAATTCTAATTAAATGGTGGTTTAGTGCCATGGTGGAGGAGTTAGTTGGGGATTGATCCTGCTTTGAGCAGGGGGTTGGACTAGATGACCTCCCGAGGTCCCTTCCAACCCTGATATTCTATGATTCTAAGTAGATAAGATAAGTGCTGGTTCTAAATACAATATCCACAAACAACACAGCCCAACAACAACAAAAGTGACAGAGAAAGTGGGGACTAACACGTAGTCCAGTAGCATTCAAAAAAAGGAGAGACCTTTCACTGCCACTGAAAGAATTTTTTTCTTTTAAATCAAGACAAATCACGCCATTCTGCTCTGTTTTACCCATACAGCCCAGCATGCCACAATCTAGCATGAATGAGGGACAAACATCAGCAACAGTGGGAAATGGCTCCTGGAATTCTTGCCAATCAGATGGCCCATACAAACAGGAACAGCAAACCACTTCCACTGTACCTGGTAACAAAGACAGCAGCGTCCACAGGAGGGGTATCATCTCTTGCACCAGGAACCTGATTATTGCCAAGATACTTTGCTCCACCATACTCTTCATTTTGCCAGTGACAGAAACTCTCCAGAGACCTCTCTCCATGGTGCCCAATGGACAGTTTTGCCTTTAGAAAACAAAAAGGAATTCAAAGAAACAAAGATTGGTCAAACTAGGGAATACCTAGGTCTATGTAGCATAAAATCATTAAGTGACAAACATACATTCAAAGTTATACTTGTGAAGGTTATACGTGCATCACCACGGCCTTAACCTGGGGCCTGAAATTCAGCACCAAAGCAGTGATCTCTACCACTTCACCAAAAGAGCTAATGTCATCAGCTGGTAACAGTAGCAAGCTTCTTTGGGAGTACGAGGCCCAAAGGGTTTATAGGATTGGGAACTGTGGTTTTGATTCCCTAACCATGTTATTAAATCTTTATAACAGTTACTCCCCAGCCTAACTGGTGATTTTAAAGTAAGACCACAGCAGCTGTATAAAAGTTTTGAAGAACTTACAGGACGGTTTCGAAGGAGAACTAGCTTGGTCACTCGAATGCGGACTTTAATTCCAAGGCTCTGGTGCTGAAACATATTGTACACCTGTCAAAATGCAACGGACAACAACATGTCAGAACAGCAAAAAGGAAAACGTTAACTAGAAGCAGATGAGGAATTAACCATGACCAAAAAGAGGTTCCCCCCCCCCATTAAAATAAATAAATAAATTAATAATAATCAAAAACGTTGCCTCAATCCAAAAACAAATGGATCGCATTATTAAACAAAAATACAGAATTATAAAAGGAGGTACTGTAGTGCCGTTTCAACCCAGAATATATGGTAGATAGTAGCAGCTACAACTCTCAAACAAATAAAATGTATTTTCCCTAAGGCACATCTTTTGGCTTCATCACACTGAACAATTTTTCACACATATCCTCCAGCAAGGTTTACCATCCAGGGTAGATCCACCCAAAAAAAAAAAAAAAAAAAAAGAAGAAGAAGAAAAGAACTAGTAACAATGTGCTTTAACAAGGGTAGCCAAAGGAAAAGATCTGCTGGAGAACAGAGGAAAGGAAATATATTCCAAAGGAACATTAAATAGAAACTAGAGATCTCAGAAATGCAAACACATGTTAAAAACTGGTAGCTAATACAGACTTTCAGCATTTAAAACGTCAGTGATATCTGAATGCAAAAATGAAATAATGGTGTGTTTTAGACTTCAGGAAATAGAATGGAAAAGCAATTTCCCTGTGTTGTTTTCATATCTTATGTAAGAAAATAGTAATAAGTCAGGTTTCAGAGTAGCATAAGTGAGCATATGACACAAGCCTCAGGAAATACAAAAATAGTGCCGGAAAGTACCTGACTGCTATCTCCAGATTTCACATTCCTGCTCAGATAGTGCACCTCATTTATAGGTTAGAACACCAAACTCTAATTGATCCCAGAATTACATTCCGCCCATTTCTCTGTGTACAACTGCTTTGCCTAAACCACATCAAAAAAGGTGTAAGCGGGGAAATACATTATAAAGTATTTTAAACTTTTTATAACTTTGGGACAAATGCCACACTCCCTACTCAGGCAAAAAAAATCAAAACCACGGAAGAGACTTTTCTGAGTAACAACGACAAGATCAGGCCCTGTTTGTTACCTGGATCTCATCTGGTTGTAAATGTTATTCAGGCTACATACAGACAGACGGAAACTGGATCTTTTTTTTTCTTCCTACGACGAAGCCACTACATGAACATATTTTGGGCGATCACATTTTCAAAAGCCTAAATTTTCCCTAATCAAGAAAGCACTCAAGTATGCACTTAAATTTATGCACATTCTTAAGTGCTTTCCTGAATAGGGAAGGATTTAAGATGGTGTTTAAATCGAGTGGTTTCTCAATCCGGGCCCAGACTGGAGCCAGCAGCTCCTGTGCTCTAATCCACATTCAGCCCTCTGACCTCCTGTATGATCTTGGTAAATCCACTTTCCTTTTCTATGGCCCTATTTACCCATTTGTAAAATCGCTGGTACTACTTACCTATCTTACACAAGTGTCTGACAATCTCTTAGGCCTGGTCCAAATGAACACTTATTTCATGGAAAGCTGGGGAGTAAATCTACCTCGCATTAGCTTGCCTCAGACTAACTGGCCATGGGGACCAAGGTGGCATGCACTAACAGTTCCCTAGCGCGCTTTGATCTACTCCCATTTCAAAGCACACCTGGGAACTTTCAGAGCGCAGCAGCAGGGACCACAGGTATCAAAGCTGGGTAGATTTATTTCCCAGCTTGACGTGAAGTAAGTGTTCGTTTAGGCAAGTCCTTGATGCTTGAAAATGTAAAACGTTATGTTTATAGTATTAACATCCTTATTGTTAAATAAACTAAGGAATGAAGCCAGTGCTCCATCCACAGAGTGGGCAAGTTTATGCCCCAATCTGGCCAACTGGCTCAGCATGGGTGGACCCTGACGCCTGCATGGAGCCCCACGGACTTCAAGGGGGCTCTTCGTGGGCAGCGGATTTGCCTGCGTGGAGCCAGTTGCATGGGGCCTAGTAAACTATTCTGGGATTCATCAAGCTACTCTGAAACCATGACCCCCATTCCCCTCCAAGATACCTCGATTTTTTTCCCCAGTTGGCAATTTCAAATGTACCCCGGCTTGCCCTGCAATTTCAACATGTGGATCTCTACCCTCTGTGTCACAATTAAAAACAAACCATTTTGCAGTTTCTTTATCTGTATTTTTTAAACACATCTATAGATGTCCAAGTGAAAAGGTAAACTGTGCTGCATATAAGAGTAAGAGCATCCTCCTTCTTTCACCCTCCAAATACAAACAATCTGGCACAAGTGGTTGCACTATTTGGACACTGTCAAAGAGCCCAACCACCAGGTTATCTAGGTTACAGAGCCTTTATCATGGGATTTCCTTTCCACCTGCCCTCTGCTCGCTTCCACCACCTTCCGTCTGTCCTAAGCACATAGAAAATCCATCAACATTGGAGTCCAAAATCAAAATTCTGAACCCAGGAGGGCCAAGTGGATTAAAAATTAAGCAAAAAGTTCCAATGTGGTCACGCTAATTCCCTCTCACTGTAATTAATGTGTGGATTTAACATACTGGAACTTGCCCAATGCCATTGCATATTATGCGAACACTCTCTAATAATGCGGCTTGTACTTGCAGAACAAGACGAGGTACACCTTGGCAGCAGGAAGTATTGTTTCTAACATTCCAGCACTGACAGTTTGCCTCGTTTTGTAGGCACTGCAGGGTCATAGCCACTGTGTTCAGTCTGAGTGGTCCCACGAGTATGCTGACTTCAATGCTACAACATAAATTTATTAATGGGATTATATGACGGGGTAATCTGCAACAGCAGGTGACTGAACACGATGACCCAGGCAGTCCCTTGCGACCCTATGTTCCAATCTCCAAGTAGATAGACCGTTACCATCAAAAGGCTGGAGAGCACTGAAGCTGGGGGCCATGCATTGTAGTAAATAATTATTAATGACGTCTGAAGCACAATTCTCAAAAAATCCTTCACAGTTGCCAGAGGAACAGGAATACCAAATACTCCTCATTTCAAAGGGAATCCCTCTTTTTGTTCCTCGGGGTTTAAACAGGGATAGTAAACTCTGCCTAGGACGTCAGCACTGACTTACAGAACTGCAGTTCACCATAGAAAACATCACATTTTAAAATGCCAATATTCTCCCATTAGACAAGTTCGAGAGTGGAGAGAACGCATCTCCAGATGTCTTCCTCATTTGTTGTCCTTTGCCTCCTTCCGTTGTTAGGAAAAGGCCACGAGCAGAGGGCGGAAGGTGAAGTCTCATTTATCCGGGGGCAAGTTCACAGGAAAACTGAACTCTGAATGGGACTTAGACTTGGCACTGCAGGGAGCACCATCATTATTTTTTACAGGTTAGTGCTTAAAAGAGAGGCAGGCGGTTCACACCAGCCGCAGAAAGGCACAGTCCCTGCCCAAAAGAGTTTACAATCTAAATCAGATTAAAGCTGCATTGGGACAGTAGGACATTTATAGGGAGTGATTCGGGGCACTGGATATTTTCTGTCTGCCTTCTTCTGAGCAGCCTGGCAATTCCATACTTTTCACCAGCCAAATGAGTACTGGGTGGATCTGTGCAGCCACCAGCTACATTTCCTTTGGGAAGTTCTAGCTTGTAGAAACTCAAATAAGATCAGTCCTTATATTATCACACTCTGACTCCAAAAAAACCCATCAAAAGCTCAGACCTGTGGATGGCTTTCCACTTTCTGCAGTGCTCACAGAGACACAAGGTATCAATAGCCTCCTCCCGTTCTTCAAAATGTTCTTCTGCCAAAGTCAATACAGTTCTTCTTACATCTTCTCTAGCCACAGCTGTTTGTGAACTCCATAGCAGTACGTGTCGGTTTAGACACCACCTATGCCATGGCTCACATCAAAGGTCCCAGTGCACCAAACTACATGAAGGACACCAACAATTCAGTTATGAGTGAGGTTATGTATGTAACTCTCAGGACATGTGACATCAGCCAGTGAATCTTGGGTCTCAGAGCACTTAGTGCAAAAGTAAAACCTATGCTTTTATTTTAGGAGGCCTCTCGTCTCCTTAGCCTAGGTGGAAAAGCATGCCTACTTCAAACAAGGTATCTAGCCCAGCTGAAGTTTGCCAGCATGAAGGTGAAGCGATGACTGATTTCACTGGGTGACATTTCAATATCAGGATTGGAGTCAACCACTGAAGTTCTACACCATGCATGGAAACTCCCTCCACATACTCCTTCAGTTCATTTTTCTAGGGTAACACGGAATGCTAGGAAGATGTCTGAATGTTGCTGGCAGACTCGGATTTGCAATGAGTGTAATTTGGTGAGGAGTCCATTGAAGGACCTCATTTGCCCAATTACTCAATCTAGAAGTATTACAAGTGGGCCTCAAGCCGGTGAGCTGGCTTATCAGGCTCCAGGAGCAGCCAGAAAATATTTCACTTGGGCTTCTTTGCCTTAAGGCAACATCCTAAAATACATACTTCACGCAGTGGACGTTGCACAACCAAGTAATGGTCTGTGATGGAGACCTTGTCATTGCACTTAGGGCAACATCTGAAGTTGCTGGATTGTTTGCTGCTCCCCCAAAACGTTAAATAAAGTGCACACACTGGTAAAAAAAAAAATGAATTCTCAACTGCACTGAGAACTATGGATATATCTATCCTCTGTAAAAAAAACCAATCCTAGCTAAAACACAGTAAGGACCTGTCCCAAATCATAGGCCAGAAGGGACCACAGTGGGAGTCAGACCTGGCCCTAAATGAGGTCGCTATGACACATAGTACCAATTTCCTTGGCATACTTTGGGTATCCAATCCCAGATGCTTTATGATAATGAGTTAAATGTAGGTACTCTACAGTGACCAAGCTGGCCGAGGAGGTAGCCAACATGTAGTCAACTTGGGCAAGTTAACCCGTGTCCCCAAGTAAAGAATCCCATGGAATCCAAGTTTCTGTTTAAAATAAAATAATTAAAGTCTCTAGGCCTTCCCTACGGCAAGCATCACCTCTGCCTTCTTCACCCAGC